TGTTGTCATGAGCTGCTGGGCTGCTGCCTTGATTCACTGATGTGATAGAGTCGGTAGAGGGACGGACCCGTTACCTCTTAAGAATCTGCAGCAACCTGTGATTCAAAATGTAAGAGAATTAAACTGGAAAGGAAAGCTGTTTTGAAAATGAGAAAGATTTAAAAAAATAAAATGTTTTTTAGGCTGGCTGCCAGCTGGCTCTAGGTTATAGGCTTATAGGTCTAGGCTATGCTATGAGCACAGGGATGTGCAAAAAGGACGAAGTCTTCCCGGAGTTAGTGGACTTGGGACAGTCAGGAGGTCCTTGGCTTGCTGGGAAACAGCGACCCCTGGTGGCCGGCAGTGACATCGGCATGAGCCGCATTAGTTCTACTTCTCTCCAGTGAACGAGACAGGGGGACTCGCACTGAAAAAGGCCATAAGAGATCACTTTATTAGCCATATACAATTTCTTGCTTTAGGAATTAATCTTTTCACATACCCCAGCTTGTTCTCCATGAGACACAGACAGGGAGAGAAGAGCACAGGGTCAGCCATTGGACAGTACATTGTAGAGCAGTTGGGGTTAAGGGCCTTGCTCAGGGACCCAACATAGTACAATTCATCTGCCAGCCACGGGATTTGAACCAACAACCTTCAGGCCACAGGCACAGATCCTTAGCAACAGTGCCACCACTCCGCCCCCTGGTTCGCACTTTTTGTACTCAGTTTCAAAGGATTCAGATATTAAACCATGCTGTCAATTGAAAACTTTCCATTTAAACTTAATAACAAACTTATTATATTTAGTTTTACTAAATATCTTAAAAGCTGCATTAATGATTTTCATCAATTTTGTTTCAGGGAGATCCTGGAGTAGAAGGTCCTATAGGTTTGCCTGGGCCTAAGGTATGTATGACTTATATGGCTTAGAAAATGGATATAATACAACAATTATAGACTGGTTAAATTAATTTGTTTTTGACTCTTTCACCATTCAATTTTCAGGGGAATCCTGGCCTTAAAGGAGAAAAGGTAAGGTATAAATTTTATTGTATAATATTTCATAATATTAAACCGTTTGAAATGTAACCTGTATATTGTTTCTTTATTTATTTTCACAGGGAGATATTGGTACTCCAGGCTTGAAGGTAAGTTTGTTTTAATACATATAACATTTCCTTAAAACTATAGGAAAGCGCATCCTAAACTCTCTTTGCAAATGTAGAATTGTATGAGTGGTGAAATATGGTATTAGTGACAGGCAGGAGAGACGGAGAGCATTTATACAATAGTTTATTTGCTCCATTAATGGATAGTCTCACAAACGTATGTGACTATACTGTGCTCTTTGAAACAAAACGATACAAGTAATAAAAACACCTTGAAAATTCTGCAAGGCACTGATAGTATTAAGTACCCAATTTGAAATAAAAATGTATCTTTTGTGCTAAAACGCTCTCCTATGCAGCGAAACTGGCAAGAGTAAAAATAATTTTGTAGTGTCGTTTGGCATTTATCCTGCTGAAGATGTTACTGGAACAAGATATGTTCTCTGTAGTACATTTTTCAGTCTTATTAGTTAAGTGTCCAAAGCCCTGCACGTTATGATACACTGCTGTCTCGTTTTTAAAATCGCAACTACCAGTATTGTATTTGAAAAGTATGTTTTTCGTATTGCTATCTTTTGTGCAAGCAACGAAAAGAAAACAATACCCTGGATTCCTTGTTCTGTAGCGTCCATCTTATTGTTCGAACGAGTTTTAAGTTCGTTTAATCTTTTCAAGGGACAACCTGGAGCACCTGGGTACAACGGTGTTGACGGTGTGAAGGTAATAAATATTTTATTAATCATTGTTCGTATTTTAAAAACATATTATCGCCATTTTTATGTTTTCCTATTCTCCTATGCTGAAGCATTCAAAAACACTGCTAATTGTTTTTCTTTGTTCTGTTCAAAGGGGAAGCTCGGCACAATTGGTACTCCTGGATGCAAAGGAGACCCTGGTATGCAGGTAAAATTGAAATTCGTTAGATTAATGACTAATCTCATTGGATGTCCCCAGACAAATCAGTCCTATCCTGCTGATATTGAGCTATTGCAAATTACTGCATCTAATTCTTCAGAATATCAGACCAAGAAATCAGTTGATTTAGAGAAATTCTGAGATATGTATCCATAGCTAAATCTGACACCTTCTAACAAACTGTATATTGATGTTTAGATACTGTACAAAGTTCCTGTGTCCGTGGAGTGTGCAGTGTAGTGGGTAAATATGTAATGTGCATTATACAAAACCACTTTAACAATACTCTGCGCCAAAAATATTAGTTTACTAGTCACTCTCCTCAGGTTCAAGAAGCTTTTTGTGGAACTGTGGCTGTGGGTATATTAGGAGGCTGAAGTCAATAACAATGGGGACAAAAACAGTAACAGTATACAATTAGATATGTAATAAAGAAATTAAAAGACCAAAAAACTATTATCTGTTCCATGGACATACAAAATTGGCTTGCATTTGTCTGAACCAAATCCACTCCTTCAGCATAGGGCAAGAAAAATGTTTCAGTGCCTAAGTTCACTTTTTATGACTTTTTTAACCTTCTGCTCCTGACAGGGAGATATTGGGCCACAAGGTGACTTTGGAATAAAGGGTGAGGCAGGAGAACCTGGAGAAAAGGTACACCAGAGACCATTCAGATCGAGCTGTTGACTCTTTCTGCTGTCTGGAATGGCCTTGGCAGTTGTTTTACTGAAGTTATTCCTGAGAGAAATGTCAGTAGTGATGTTCATCTACTATTTTGCCACCTTTCTGAAGAAAATCTAATACCCGCATCTGTCGATGGATATTTTGCTCCCTTCCAGCAACTATTTTGACAAAGAAGAAGATTACCTCATTTTGAATATCTTCAAGCCTGGTAACATTACAAAATCAATCTCTAACCGACCTGCTGTATTCATTTTCTGACCACTTCATCCAATTCAGGAGCCTTGTTAAGCAATGGGTATAAGGCAAAATACACCCTGGGCATTACGCCCGTCCATCACAGGGCACACAGACACTCACACACTCACACCACGGCCAACTTTCCCAGAAACCAATTAACCTACCAGTCTCTGCGAGAGGAAATTACAGCACCCAAAGGAAACAAACATGGGGAGACCATACAAACTCCATACAGATGGCACAACAGCTCCGAAATTGAACCCAGGGCCTCAGCTCTCACTCTTTTATATAAATATAGACTTTAACTAGAAATGCAATGTAATTAAAGCTGACAAGTCACCAGAAACAAATGCACCTTGTTTTGGAAAGTATTAATGCCTACAGTATATCTATTTCAGCCACTCATATGTAAGTACTGCTCTAGTTCTCTTCGCTTTGCTCGTCGTGTGAATTTTGGTGATAAAATCCCAGAAGCATTTCCGTGTCAGAGTCACCAGTCAGAGCACCGGCAGTGGAGCTGGTAGGTGCTTCGCCCTTCGTCAGTTAATAATCTAGAATTATCTTTTCAAATATTTTCATCTCAGGGTGTCGCTGGACAGAGTGGCAGACCGGGACCCCAGGGCAGTAAGGGAGACAGTGGAGGAAAGGTAGAATTCGGCGCGTGCCTCAGTGTCACCCCTTCACACGAGATAATAATCCCCCAACAGTGCTGAGGAAATAAAGACTTCTGTCTGTTACACAGGGCCTCGTCGGTTACGTGGGAAATCCAGGTGTGCCGGGGCAAAAGGGACAAAAGGTAACTTTCATTATGAGGTCTATGTTTAGAATTAAACATTTTCTGTCAGTCAAAATAAATATACTTTACTACCATCAATCCTTATTTTCATTATCAGGGAACGCTGGGGCTTCCTGGTGATTCAGGCGATATTGTAAGTAATCTTTTACTTTCATTTACTTTCTTTTTCCCATGGGGGGTACAAAACTCGAAACCTATAACGATTATCGGTAAATAGGTCAATAGCAATGTCTGTGCTCTAGAATGTCTAACTATCTTGCATCCTTCACCTTCAGAAGGTCACTGTTATGAAATATACAATACTCCCTCACAATTGTTGGAGACCTAAATCCTGTAGCACACTATGCACAGCCAAATTATTTATATATACTCCTACTTTATTTAGAATCAAGCTTCTTTGTGTAATGAGATCTCCCTTGTCAAGTAAATCAAGTACTATTTTAGCCATATCTGAAAACCAAGACATAACGAACTGAGACTCATTATGTTGACTCAAAGTCACATCTTCTACTGTCCTAACGATATCTTCCTAGTAACTAGATTTTAGATCCTCAAGTCCTTGGTGCACCAGTCCAGAACATTCTGTAGGTCACCATTAAATTACCAGTTTCTAAAGTAATTGACAATTAAATGGGTGTTTTGGTAAATCAAGTAATTTAGAGATT